TTAGAGAGTACGCTTGTACAAGTAACATTCTATCTGCAATTATTTGCCTTCCTTAGTACGACGATATCTTTGGTACTATCCTTTAGAGAGTACGCGTGTACAAGTAAGATTGTTATGCTGACAATAGTCTCGTTTGGAGAATACATTCATTTGAAGGGCACAGATGTCTGGGGAATATCAATGACTTGAAGTATCATTCTGTGAAGACTACATAGATATATGCCGTACTCATATCTGCAGAGTGTTAAGATTCCTGGTACGTTATTATTCCAAGAGTGACAAACTTACAACTGTACCGTTAAATAAAGTACTGAAGGCCATAGAATATATAACATAGCATCTTACGACTTGCGGAGAGTTACACCATAGAGGGTATAACAATTCCCGTAATAGTCTTATATGGAGCGTACTATGGTGTGAAGCGCATGCACCTCTTCATTCTTCGGAGCTTTGAGGATTATTACGGTTATGTACGCAATGGTGTGCCAAGATGATCATGCATGTTCTTGAAGTTCCATTATGTAAAGTGTCGGGATTTAAGTTTAATGGCCCAATAATATAAAGTACGGGATTGTACAAAAGATAAGAAATGTCGAGGACACCATTATTTCGATGGTATTATGGTGCCAGAAGTACTATGATGTAAACCGTAATTCTCTGTGTGAAATATTGATATTTCAAGCGTGTCATTATATGGAAAGCACTATTCCGTCGAGTTTATGGATATTACAGGAAGGCTATTGCTTATACAGTACGGATGTGTATGGATTTTCAATGGTCATGATTACAGAAGTTGTCGTAGTGCTGTTATATGAATGTACTAATATTTGAGTTGTGGTAATATTTCTTGTGCATTGTTTTCTGAATAGAATACCTCCGTAGGTAGTATGCATAATCGAAGACCATATTTTGTGAGTATACTCATATGTGTGTACTACTGTCATTTACGGACAACAATTGTGTGCAGATTATGGATGTCCCTGAAGCACAACTATCTGAAGGATGCCGACTTCGAGTCCCAGGATTTTGACTTATATTATACGCACAAAACTACTGTGTCGAACCTCTAGCAGTCCCTGAAGTATTATTATATTAAGAGTGGTGCATTATTTGATGCTTCATGACTTTAGCAGCACCGCCCTACCAAGTGTAAAGATATCCTAAGATTACGCTTGTATGAAAATAACTTCTTAACTTCAAGTGCTGATATTCCCAGAATACTACCATATGAATAGTCCGCATGTGTGCAAAGTATTAATATAGAAGAAATAGCATGCTGAAGATCAGTACAACAGTACCCATACACCTATCATTTAAATACTACTGAAATTGCAAGGCGTACCCTTATTTATAACGTGTAAGTGTTTTTCAAGAATGACCTTATATGAATAGAACCATTGAATGAAGTTTCCAAATATACGTGCTGTACTATTATATAAGGAGCACAAGTGGATAAATTATTACCGCCAGTCGCGAGTCTCCACCCCAGTGAAATAAAGAGCTGTACCAACCGTACTATTATATACGCCTTCATAGTTTATTTTAGTAATAAAAGGAATAAAAACTCCAAGCTCTACAAGGCCCCAGAGACAAACTTATTTGAGCAAGCGCAATAACCATCTAGTGACTCAGTGTAAATGGCGCCAATAGATGAGGAATGTCTTTCTGTGAAGCCCAGAGAAATTTCGATTGCAATACTCTGTGAGATATAGAAATATCCTGGGGAATTTTTATCTGAAAAGTCATCTTGTGAATAAAGCGCCATTCCTTAAAAAAAGAATATCTGTAAAAGATAAGGATCTCATACAGTATTACGAAATATAAAAAATAAGGAGGTCTCCCTAGTACTTATATGTGAGAAGTAATAACAACCATATTCTCTAGGAATATCAGAGATCGAAACCCCGTCTTGCAAAACATTATTTATGACCGAAAGATATGAGTCGATAACCGTAGTAGGATTAGCCAATGTCCCTATCATACTATGAAATAAAAACTATTCCCATGAATGTAATGAGTCATCTTAGAAATTTCAGATATATGCTTTCACTATATAAGTAATGATCTAATATAACCACAATCCCAATTTTGGTCTAACAAAAATCTGCAAACTACGGACAAGTCTGGATGTTCCATGGTGAAGAGTCCCAGTGTCCGAATAACAACTTTCTATGTAAGTTCTACTAATAAAGTTCAGTGAAGACTCTAAGACAATAATATACCAGAAACAGGGAACTGTCAAAGCTTTGCTACCCCTAAAAGTAAGACTATCGTCAGAAGAGAGTCATTTAAACAGATAGACAGGCAGCAGGCATAAAATTTTCCTATCCGCAATCTCTTGTGGATAGGAATCAGATCTAGGGGGAGGAATTCTTGAAAAAAGGAATCCCACCTTCGTCCAAGATAGAATCCACACACAGGCGCTCAGTATTATAAATAGATATAGACACAACACAAATAGGCCAAAAAACCGAAACCTCAACAACGGACAAGTCAGGGTAGTCGTATAAGCGTACCGAAGGCAAAACATCAGATTAGAACAAGCAAGGAATAAATCGAAGGAGCAAACAAGAACAGGACAAAAAGAAGAGATCGTAGTAGTCTATAACCACAACGGCAAAGGATGAAACCGGGATGTAGGCATAATGGGCCCGGTATTTTTTGACAAAGCATAAGAATAAATGATTAGTCACTGGGGCTAGATAGATAAAACTTGATTCAGGAGCAAAGCGGAATAAAGCATTACCCACTAGCAAAGATACTCTAACAAACAAAGAAGGATCGTAGGAAAAGAACTGGTATTAGTCTAAGGTATTACTGGTATAGCACAAGGAGGCAACCGGAATAGAACAAATCTTCAGAAACTGAGGTAGAGTAAGTGAATTCTCCAACGATCAAATAAATCACCCCTGAGCAACCCACAGATGCAGAACAACAATCAAGCCCATAACCCCCCGGAACAGAAATTCAGTTGAGTCTCCAGGAGGCCTCCCTCGGGGCGTAGACCAACACAAGGAATCAACAATTCTAAAACAACCAAACCTAGGTGACGACAGGCTGAACTTAAGAGGACAACGAAGGACGAATCCAGGAACCTCAAGACAGGGGGAGGAAGAAATACATCCCTGAAACCAATAGACCAAATTAATGTCGTCGAAGAGCAGAGCAGCACTGCGAAGCATAATTCCGAGAAAATATCGCAATCCGAATAGCACAAGTTATGACTCTGAATAGAAACCCCCTAAGGGAGGGACACTCCAATCCTCATAAATCAAAGGAGGAATCCTAGTTACATAAGGAAACTGCAAAGGACGAACCGAGTAGCAAGCTAAAGAATGGTCAACTCAGCATAAGCCCAAAGAACGGATCAAATAGCCAGAAATCTTATCATCATTAGCCGGAGCGTTCAAGATCAAGATGATGAAGGGGGGACTATATGAGAAGAAACGAAAAACCTTCCCCCTCCCCCCCAATCCACCCCACAAACCCCCGAAAGTAGAGTCTCTCCCCCCCACTGAATCAAAGAGACCAGAAGCCCCCCCACCCAAGAGAAAGCGGTCATTCCCAATCCGAGAGAGACAGCCCCCCCACTAGACCAGGAGCGATAATCCAGGTAAGAGTCTCGAGCCGAGGCAGCGAGGAACGAGAAACATCATCAGGGCTAGCAACATCGGGAACAGAAACAAGAGGAACACGAGAGCAACCGAGGAGGGGCCCACCAGACGCGTGAAGTAAGACAAAACCAAAAGGGAGAACCCACAAACCCAGAAAACAAGAAAGAGTAGAAGGGACAAAAGACTCTTCCAAGGAAAAAGGGAACCGAAGCCCGCTATCAAGGAGGGAGGAACAATTGTCACGAGTAGGGGAAGGATTCTAAGAGTTACAAGGAACACAAGGGACAACAGCATGCACTCGAAGGGAAGGAGGAACTGTATCCAACAATACGAGGGAGCTACGGAAGGGAGAGATCTAGTTCTCATCACGACGTCATTGAACACTTCAGAACAGAATAACGAAAGAAGCCGTAGTGGGCCATCTTAGCCACGACACCGAACACCAGAGAAGGATCAACCAAGTAAAGCACCGCCAGGGAATATAAAACTCAATTGACAAGGAAGGCGTCGTCAGTTCAGGAGAGTAGGTATGATAACCGAGAGGAAGATGAAGGGGAAGAGAACTAGGAACGAGTCTCAAAGCCAAGTAACGATAGCATCCTGAGGAACAAATTGAATAACAATAGAAGGAAGTGGAGTCCCCCCCAGAAGGCCAAAACAGACAAACCAAAGAACAAGGAGAACCTGAACCATTAATGGGAGTCGATGAAGACTCCCCCAAGAACAAACAAACCGAGAAAGAGTTCCAACACCCCGGCTTAGGAATCTGCCAAAAGAAACAACAGTCGTAGAACTTCACCATCGAGCCTCCCAAAGGCGCGAGTCCCCTCCTGCACAGGACGCATTAATATCTGAAAAAGCAGGGAAAAGGGACGAAGGAAGGAGAGTGAAGCTGAATTGGGGAGAAATGGGACGCAACAAATCAGAAGGGGGGCGAGGGAATGACAGGGAGATTAAGACCCAGGATCCCGGGACAGGAGAGGGAAATGCACACCTAACGTGGAGAAAACTGAGATGGACCCGACTCAAACAAAGGGAGGGGACACCACCTCCAAAGCGAGACAAAACAGCTAAAACAGGCGAAAGATACAAACACATGAAGATGAATGAGGGTAGAGTCAAGGACCCACCAGGGCAGTAGGGCCCGGACTCCATCCCGAAGGGTGGAGACACCTCTCCAACGCATCAGGGAGCAGGGAGCCGTCAAGGACAGTCAATGGAGCTTCGTCCCACCAAGACGAGGGCTCCACCACAGTCAGGACAGATCTAACACAAACCACGGGTTCAGAGAAGGAGAACAGGGAAGGGAACGGAAGGAGATGCGACCTGACAACCCAAGAGGATGAGGAGAACTCCCCAGGAGGGGAAGGAAAGAAAGGAAGCAAGTACATGGGGAGCGCGAGGCCAAACGGAGGGCGACTCCCTTCCTGTTACTTTCGTTTCAGAGTCAGGTAGGAGAGGGAAGGGGGAGAAATAGAACGGCACAACTAACAACGGAGCAAGGGGGCAAGAGAAGAACAAGTAGGACATTCGGCGACTCCAGATGATGTTGCATCCTTCTGGGAAAGGAAGTCTAGGGGAGGACGTGGCCGAGACTAAGGACAAGGGTGAGAACGCACCAGAGAAGGGGGGAGAGAGGCATCAACCTCCCAGAGCGTGAGGGCCTGGAACCAGAGGACAGTGAACCGAAAGAGGGAACACCAGGACGGTCGCAAACAGCCACGAGTTGCCAAATAACAGAATGGGAGACCCCAGAGCGGGGAAAGAAAGGAGGGGTCGGAAGAAAAGGAACTAAGGCCACAGAGGAAGACATGGGCGCAAGAAGGAGGCGAGGGGCGAGGGTGAAGGGCAAAGGAAGCCAAGGATGACTGGGCTAGGAATAGAGTGGACAGCACGGGGAGAACAAACAACCCCTGAAGGACGAGAAAGAGGAGCATTCATAGGCGAGAGGGTGAGGCAGGAAGGATTACGGAGATTGCGTCTCAAAGATGGAAGGGAGGGTTAAGGGCAGGGTAGGAGGGGCGGCAAGAGGAGAGACTGGGAGGGAACAGGGCGGGACAAGAAGGGAGCGGCATATCCAGGAGAGGATCAGCAGGACCTCGAAATAAAGAGTGTCCGTCGACAACTGGAACTGGTGATCAGGAGCAGTTAGAGGAAGAGCTCCGTGAGGTGGCGTTCCACGGAAAAATCAGGAAAGGGGGGGGGGACCATACAACAATGGAAAACGACGGGCGAGGGGTCCAGGCCTAAGGATGAGAAGAAGTTGAAGGGGGGAGTACCAGCGGGGCTACCTAAAGGGGAGAATAGAGAATGGAGAAAAAAGCCAACAAAATCTTAGGGAACTGGGGAGGGGGGCCACACGGGGAGCATCCCAGAGAAGGAAATGGCTCAAGACGAAAACAAGGGATTCAGAGTAAGGAAAGGACAAAAAATCGGCAACGAATCCGCAAGATCAAAGGACGGAGGGGGACCCAGGCGGCAAACTTCGGGGGGCCGGAAAAAATGACAGATGAACGAAGGTGGAAGGTCCCTGCGAAGGGGGAAGGGGATCGAGGAGCAATTACGGCGCCGCCTCAGCAGGATGACAGCAGCCGCGAAGGTAACATCAGGAGTTGACCCGGAACCTCAGACAGGATCCCTCAGCACGTCCAGGACCCGAATAGAGGGACAACCCCAAATTGGGGCAGGCAGGAGCCGACGCCTGGATAAGAAAAGCCAGCGACAGACTCAGGTCAGGCTGAGCGGGACGGAAGGCAAACTGGAGTTTCGAGATGAGGAGAGGGAAGGACAAGGAAGGATGGAGCCTAACTCAGCGTCTGGCAGGGAGGAAGTAGGGGGGGACGGAATAGGAGAAAGTTAATCGAAAAAAAGGAAATGAGGGAAGGTTCGGGACCCCAACGACAGGAGCGAGACCAAGGCCACCCGGAATAAGAAAGCAGGAGAGACCCCACTCCAGACGTGCATGAGTCGGACGAGAGAGGGAGCAAAAAGCGATGAAGGGAGCTGCCCCTAGACGCCTGCGCCGAAAACAAGGGAGAAGAATCAGAAGGCTGGGCGAAGAGGACTGGGCAGGAGCACGAGGAAGGGAGAAAAGGAACGGGGCAAGTTCATCCCCAGAACATCTAAAGGACAATCTGACCAAAATGAAAATGGAGGGACGAAAAGGAGCAGGGGCGGGAGAGAAGGGGAGAGGGAGAGGAAGCTCCAAGGAGGGGGGAAAGGGGGTTGAATGGGGGCCGGGGACCCAGGAAGCAGTAGAAGGAAAGGGGCGAGAAGGAGAAAATCGAGAAGGAATCGAGAACCAGAGGGGAGGAACAAAGGACAGGCAGGAGGAGGGGCGTTACCACAGGCGAAGGGAAGGAACAAAGGAGGAAGAGGAAGGCAGGAACTCGAGGGAGGAAGGCACGCCAAGGCAAATCACGAGGGATCAGGGGGCACCTTAGGGGAGGAAACCCAGCAGAGGACGGGTAGGCAGCAGGG